ATGGTTTTGTCAGGATGTCCTAAGCATAGAAGGACGTGGAAGATGGCTACATTTCTTGGTAGATCACAAAAGCGAGTGTGTTGAGAAGAATACGTATTGAGAAGTATGCACTGTTTAAAGTTCCTGTCTCGACAATCATCTGATTTAGAATGGCTGGGGAATTTTCCTGAAGTGAGTAATGTACCATAAGTAGACATTGTGAGCCCATCCATCACATCAGATCAGGACAGAAAAGAAAGAACGATAATAAGGGAAATACCATATTTAGCTTTCAGAGACTCAGATCAAATTTTACATCGCTACTTACCATTACCGAAGGTGCGAGCAGACTGTATAGGCTCTAATTTAATTGGGGTTGGGGGAGAATAATTGGTTCTGTGTCTCTCTGGCTTCTGTATATGTGTAGGTTCATTAAAAATTTTTTTGCTTCAATTTTTAAAATTAAGCCTAGGAGAAAGGCTTCTGATGTCATTAGCTTGATATAGAAAAGAACATGAATTTTTTTCTTTCCATTCTTTCTTTCCATCCTCCCTTCCTTCCTTCCATCCTTCCTTTCCTCCTTCCTTGAATAATATTTAATGTTTGTATGCTGCTTTACAGTCTGTCTTTATTTCTTTGTTTCTTCGCAACTGTCCTTCAAGGGGGAGACAGAACAGGCCCATCGTAGGGATAAGGAAACCGAGGCCCACACCTCAGATCACACAGCCTCTCTCTCCATGGTGATGACATCTGCATTAGAATGTCATCTCCCAGCTCCTAGCTCACTGCAGAGCCCGTTACACCTGGAACCTGTAAGAAAGGAGATACACTCATCAGATACAATACACCCTTTCGTTATCCCTCCACACTTTCCCTCAAGAGTTAAATCCCATCCAAAAATAAGTAGACCCAGGAAAGGCATCCTGGCCTGTACTAAGGACAGCAGGTGCTGCTTCCGTGTCCTCCCTCTGCTCCCACCAGGCAGGACCTGGGATGTCCTCTCAGTCTTTCGCCCACACCCTTGCTCTCCCATCTGAGACGGGATGGTCAGCCTTCCATGGCTCAGAATCACCATAGGACTCCCAGCATCACCACCACGGCCCCTTGCCTCGTAGAAGGGAACATGATCCCGGATGAGTGCTGTTAGTTGCTGATGGCTCTGCAGTTTGGCTGTGCTGTCTCAGCAGGTGACTGCTTTGGTTTCAGAATGCAGCCTTTAACCTTGTAGGGGATAAAAGCTACTTACTCTTGCCAACACGCCGTCATTGAGCATTTATGGTGGCCAAGACGTGGGACAAGGGAACAGTCATTGTTTTGTGTGTCTGTGGAGGGTCTTCATTGTGGGATCCAGAAAGGAGTTTACACAAAGTGCGGATGGGCACAAGAAGGGCTGCTGGGCTCTTACTTTGTGCCACCACCTTGCCATCATCTGTAGTCTTTCCCTGATTGGTGAAGGACCCTTCGAGTGGTCAGATTTACCCCAAGCCCTCCCGAGCCTCGTGGTCTGAAGAGAGCCTGCAAGCAGTGAAGAGCCTTTCTAGGTCTGCTCCGCGTGCTTGTACCCTGACCGGGGACAGATAGAAAAGTCTGTGTGATCGTGTGTAGTGGCGGTGGTGAGCATTTGTGGGGCCCACTCCCCGTGAGGCCCCTGGAAGGCCGTGTGACAGTCGGCTGTTGCCTTTACATGGATGGGGTGTTTGTACAGTCAGGAACAAGACTCTGCCCCTCTCTCTCTCTCGGTGAGTGTCTCACAAATTCTTTGTCCCTCAGTCCCATCGTGCCATCCAGGAGGAGGTGCTGACATGATGAATGAGCAGGACATAAAGCCACTGCTGCCCTGAGCAACAGCTGTCCCACACCATCCACTGAATAATCAGATAAATGAGGCAACGTGGGGTCTCACCCAGTGAGAACTTTGGTAGAGGAAGTGCCAGTCTACTCTCGGTTAAATCAGGTGGCGGGCCCTTCTTTCCGTACTCTCACTGTGCTTTTAGCTTTCTAGATCCCGCTCCCCAGGTCTGCTGTTGGGAGTGAAATAGAGACTGTCCCGTTTACCCTGAGGGCTGGGGAGCGGCTATGCATGGTAACAACTGCAGGGACCCTCTACCCAGAGCAGCAGGGAGAGGAAGGGTTGAAGTAGGTGTTGCCCAGAACCTGCCAGTATTTGCAACAAAAGCAAGAAGCTCTGGCAAAAAGTCTGGAGGCGTCTTTCTTGATCACAGGTGATATCGCCTAAGGACTTTAATTACCAAGGATTAAGCAGGAAGTGGAGTGCTGGACCTAAATGAATAATGATACAAAGGAAGTGAAGCAGAAAAACCCAATTTCCTTCCGTGAAGGGGAAAAAAAATATCGATTTATTTAAATGAAAAGAGAAGAATGGACTGCGTCATTTTCCGGAGGCCAGAGTTCAATGGGTTTTTAAAGACTGTGTGTATCTCCTTGGCCAGACCAGTGGCTGGAATCCTCAGCCTGCCTGCAGGAATTGGAACGTTTTTAAGATGCCGGAGCGTTCCTCCCTGACAGATGACTCACTGATTCAGCCCCTTCTCTCCCGCGTCTCCTCGTAGGCCCTCACCTGGCTTAGCTCACATTTTACAGTCAGCACCTTGGTTCCCCAGAAAAACGCATGCAAAATTGCGAAATAGAAAAGCAGTGGGCCATGTGACTCCATCAGTTCTGCCTGGCCTTGCATCAGCCTTGACTTGTACCGATCAGAGGCCGGGCTGGGGTATCTGCTTACCGGCAGCCTGGAGGCCCCAGACACCTACCCAAAGTGGCCATTTAAATCCATGCTCTTAGCACACCTGCTGGGTAACTAGGGCAAATCTGTAGAGATGAATGGAACTGAAATGAGATCGGAGACATTCACAGTGAATAGGAAAATTGCCAGAATGGAATGCAGATGGATGTGGTGGTTATCGTCATATAAGGCAGTGACTGTGGGACTTGACAATGTTCCACTAGCAGGATAAGGCCCAGGGCTCTGCCTGCAGTGATCCCATCCTGCTGTGAGTCATGGTACCCAGAGTCCAGGGCAGGGGGTTCTAAAACCTTATCATTAGCACTGCGGTTGGAAAATGCTAGGATATCATGATTCAGGGGGAGGGAAACACAGGGAGGTGAAGGAGGTGGAGGAAGACACACCCACCCTGGGATGGAGCAGGTCAGTTTCTTTCATTCTTATGCAAGTCCCATGAGATAGGCATTGTTACTCCTATTATACAGGTGAGAAAAACGGAGGCTCTGAGAGGTTCGACTCTGTGTAGGCGGCAGCAGTTGGGCACAATGGAAAAATATGGGTTTTGGAGTCAGACAGAGGCAGGATCAGAACCTAGTACCACCACAGGTTCAGCGACTTGGGGGCAAGTTCTGTAACATGTGTTTTCTCATCTATAAAATCTGGACCAGTGTGCCTATGCCCTGGCTTAGGGAGCATTAAGTAAGATACTGTGGATAACAGCACAGCCCCAGCACACAAGAGACCCTCAGGAAATGACCGGTATCATGATAAGACCTCACAGTGGGGGAACCAAGATTTGAACACCGAGAGGTGGGGCCCATCCCAACCTGTGCTCCTTCCACCAAGACCCCTGGCCTCCCGAGCCATACGTGAGGACTGTTCTTAAGTGATGGGCACGAGCAGAGCTGGGCGCAGCGCAGGCCACCCGAGGAGCCCAGTGCCCTAGGCATTCTTTGCATTTCAGCTTTGCACGCTGCAAACAAGTTCCCGTGCATCGGTGGACAGGGCTGAGACAGGCAGGAGGACACCCTCGCTCCGTTAGGCACAGTATAGATTATTCTCTGAGCATTTCTGTATGTTTGAAATATTTTATCTAACAACTTACAACCCCCTCCCCAAAATTGTATGAGTGAGATTTCATTAGCTCTGACTGTTGATTAGCTGAGGTGGGCAAGACACTGAGAGGAGTTTAAAAATAATCCTATACAGAGCTTCAGAATTTGCCATATTATTACAGAAATTATATGTCTGTGTCTGTCTGGCCTGCTACTTCATGTATCACATGTCTTTGCGTCCCCAAAGCTTAGCCCAGTACTTGGCACATAGTAGGTACTCAACACACTTGGGCTGAACTAGCAACATAGAAACAAAGAGCTGGAATGGGAGCAAATCCTGGCCCTTCCCCCAAGAGTTGAGTCCCCAGAGCTGTGTGTGTGTGTGTGTGTGTGTGTGTGTGTGTGTGTGTGTGTGTGTGTGGCTTCAGTTTGACCTCCTCTCACCTGAGGACTTGAAGGCAGACAGTTCATTTCAATAAGTACCAAGCTTGGTCGTGGGGGCGGAGCTGGGTTGATCACAAGCACCAGAAATGTCCTTGTTCAATTACTCAGGAGGCAGGTCAAAGGGGCATTGCTTCCTGTTTCCCACTGAGATGTGCTTTCATCCCCCCGAAATGCCATCCTCCACGCCCTCCCTTCATGGGATCCCAAATAACATGGTTCACACTGATCCTTTACCATTATTGCCCCTTGGAAGACACATCAAATGCCGGCCATTAAAAACAGACGAGTTCACAGGCCTTTAATGATGACACTGATAACTGTGGATTTTTGTCTCCAAGGGTCCTGATGAGCAGAGGTGAGAAGTAAATGATGGTGCTAACTTTTATGTCCGTGGTTTATTGATCTGGGAGCTTCAAGGGAACTCCACCAGCCCCAAAAGCTTGGCAATCCCGATTTCCTTTTCATCTATGTAATTGGGTCACCAGGGTACCATTAGGTTCCAATTTATATTAATATTAATAGGAAGGCAAAGAACATGATGTGACATTTCTGTAATAAAGTAATGGACATATCAAAATATTCTACCTGGTAATTATAAACAAATGAGTTTTCCCACCGCTCAAAGAGGACTGTGCTGCCAGCTTATTGTGCACTTCACCGTAATTTATCAGGCAGAGGTTCCATGCTGCCATGTAAACTGTCTCCAGAGTACATAAGGACATTCCATCATACAGTATCCACCTTCGTCCGTGTCATTCCTGTTTCCTGTTTCCTAACAGGTGAAAGTCATGCTTCGCATTTGTTCCACGTTGGCCCGTGATACCTCAGAATCCAGCTCTTTCTTAAAGGTGGACCCTCGGAAGAAGCAGATCACCTTGTATGACCCCCTGACGTGTGGAGGTCAGAACGCCTTTCCAAAGAGAGGCAACCAGGTTCCTCCTAAGATGTTCGCCTTTGATGCGGTTTTCCCACAAGATGCTTCTCAGGTGGGTATAAACCCCGCTCGGGGCCAGGCAATGTTATTAATAATTCATTTCAAGGAGCTTTTACTCGTTCACCAGGACCTATGAGCTGGGAGGGTGTCCTCCAGGGTGCTTCGGTGGACCAATTTCTCCACCTACACAACTTTTAGAAGCCAGTTTGAGCTCCATTGAACAGTTCGGTTCTTCTGAGTGACTGGTGTCGTACCGTGGGCAGGACCATTGTGCTGAGATTTCAGTAAAACACATCCTCGGGGAGCAGAAGGCGCGAGCCTGTCAGTGGGTGGCATCCCAAAGCAGGAAGGTAGCAGGAAGTTTCAAGATCACTGCACTGAGGGGCTGGCAACTGGTCCATTAGGACCCCACTCCTGCCCCTCCTCCTGGCTGTGGGTGTGGAAAAAGGGAAAACATGTTTCAGGGAGCTGGGTTAGAATCAGGCAGGCTCCTAGGGCCCCACAGAGGACAAGTCTGGAGCATAAGGCAGGGAAACTGAGGCTGGCATTCAGTCCAGTGGTCTGGATGCATGGAGTGGCGGGGATGTAGAGAGGCTAGGCACAGCTGGTGTACCAGTCAGCTACCGCTGCATTACAAACCACCCTGAAATCCAGTGGCTTAAAACGATAAGCATTGATTATTGCTCATGAGTGTGGGGCAGCTGAGAGTCTTCTGCCCCCAGCCCGGCTCCCTGATGTCTGTGACCAGCTCTGGGTTGGGTAGGCAGCTCTCTCCGCTGATCTTGGCTGGATGCTCGCCCATGTTTGGGGGTTGGCTGGCTTTAGGGTGGTCTAGGATGGCCTTGGCCGGGTCCCCTGGTCTCTCTGCACACTGTCTCTCGTCAGCCAGCAGGCTATTTGGGCTTGCTGTCATGGCAATGGCGGGATCCAAGCATGTAGGCTTCTTGAGGCCCAGACTCAGAATCGAAACACTACCTCTTCTGCTGTGTTCTACAGGTTCAGGTTTGAGGGGTGGAGAAGAGACGCCACCTCTTAATTGGAAGGGCTCCAAAGTCACATTGCAAGGGGCACACACGCCGGGAGAGGTGGGAAATTGTGGCCATCATTGTTAATTTGCTATGACTATAATCTTGGGGGCTCAAGGTGCCAAGATTCCTGGATCCAAGCTCCTGGAGCCCATCCCAGCAGGAACAGATGTCTACTAGAAGATTCAGTTGCACCATCTGGTGCAACTCACATGCAATGAATCGGTGCAACCGAATCTTCTAGTAGACATCTGTAACCCGGGTTATAGGGATACAGGGGCCTGCTTGGCCTGCACTTTGGCATCAGACACCTGCACCTTCCTGATAAATTTCCAGCACTTCTAAGATTTATACAAAACAGTGTGCAATAGGATGACTGATAGCCTGTTAGCAGAATCCGGGACAAGGGTGCTAACAGCTACCCTTTGCAGCTCCTGTTAATTTCCTCTATGTTGCGTCTCAGTGTAGGAAGATGTGATGCTCACGCAGGCTCCTATATCACACGGTCAGCACAGTGCACATATTATAGGCTCCGTTCATGAATGAGCTGAGCATGTGTTTCCCCCAAAGAGTTGGCTGTGAGAAGACAAAGTACTTTACGAATAAGTTCTATGGTTTCTCTCTCTTCATTACCTTTGTGTGTGTGTGTGTGTGTGTGTGTGTGTGTGTGTGTGTGTGTGTGTGTGTGTGTTGTACCACCCATGGGCTCACTAGTCTAAACCTGACATTCGGTCTAGTAAATGGCCTACAAATAATTGAATGAATGCAGTTAAAACTTTTCAAAAGCCAATTTCCCTAAGTTTTAAGAATTCCAAAGCAAACCCTACATTAAGCACAGACTATTAATGTGCTATAAATTTCGTCCAGAAAACGGAGCCATTTTTATTGCTAGTCTTTATTTACATTTCATACATGGTTACGGAACTTGTATGCTCAATATTACAGATGCATTCACTTTAGAATGCTTTACTTTTGCTAAACTTTCCAATGTTATAATAAGCTACATTTCAAAAAAAAAAATTGCAGCTTTCAAGAAATTTCATATGCATTAACCCATTTATTCTTCCTAGAATTCTATGGTGTAGGAAAGGGAGGCATTGCTATTTTCATATTACAGATAAGGAACTTGAGACTCAAAGACAAAGCCTCTTGTCGTCGTCCCTTTCCTGAGCAGACATCTTTTCCGGATTCTTCCCCTTGACCTCTCTGTGTCCTGCCCCATACGGGGTTATATCATTGACCTCCTGTCATTTTATCCACTATTTCCAAGCAGTTTGCCCTTGAGCAAGTCACCGCACCTCTCTGGGCCTCAGTGTCCTCATCTGCAGAATAAGGACAGAACCAAAAATGACCTCCTTAAGGCAGTTGTGAGTCATTGAATCGATACACGTGAGGTGCTTAGAACAAAGCCAAAACGTAGTCAATGCTCAGTAAATCTGAGCTAGTATACCATCACTGTTTGTAGTGGTATACCGCTTCTGGCCAGGAGCAGCATCAGTCCCCACAGGGTGAGCACCCTTTGAGTTTCCCAAGCAGGGAAGCAGACAGTGTACAGGGCAGGCCTCTGCTCTGAGGTCCTTACTGTTGGCCTGTAAAGCAGCAGCCGCCACAGTGGCCCCAGGCAGTGAAGATTCTTGCTTTTTCTCAGTCTCTGAGGACATGTGCTTCCTGAAGCTCAGACGTGATTACAGCAGTCCTTGCTCCTTGTCACCCTTTTGAGCCATCCTTACTCCCCTTAACTGGCCTTGGCTGTCGTCAGCTGCCCACTGCTGGGGCAGACCTCTGCTGGGTCTGGCTTTAAGATGACTTGGCCGGTTTGGGCTGCCAAAGTAAAGCAGCACAGACTGGGTGGCTTATAAACAACAGACATTTATTTCTCACAGTTCTGGAGGCTGGAAGTCTGAGCTGAAGGCGCTGGCAGATTTGATGTGTGGTGAGGGCCCCTTCCTGGTTTATGAACGGCATCCCTGCGCTGTGTCCTCAAGTGGTGGAAGGGACGAGAAAAGCCTCTTTTATAATCCCATTCGTGGGGGGGAGAGGGGGCTCCACCCTCATAACCTAATTACCTCCTAAAGGCCCTGCCTTCCCAACACCATCCCATTAAGTTTCAACATAGGAATTGTGGAGAAGTCACATCCAGTCCTTAGCAGGAGGCGTGGTGGGGGAGATTCAGGCCTGTGGGAGAGCACAGGCTTCCTGCAGACCTGGCCTGGCCCACGGGGTCTGTGCGCGGGCAGGCTCCCTACTTCTCTAGGGCCCACGAAAGGCAGCAAGCAGCCTTCAGAGGCCATTGGCCGCTCCAGACAAACCCCAGATGGTCAAGTCGCTGACCACTCTACTCAGTGGATACCGGGCAAGAACTCTGCAAGGGGAGGCCTGGCCACCCTGTGCCAGATGACACCTCTCCTGTGCCTCCTCTGTCCTAGGGCCTTTACTCAGGTGACTCTTCGATGGCACTTTGGTGCACACACAACTGACATTCTCTCTGCTGACCTTGAATCTAATACAGTTTATTTTATGGGTGGCTCAGGGTGGGCTCTCAGCCTCTTAACCCTCATCTCACTCTATGTTCAAAGAAAGCAGAGCTCATTTGGCAGTAACTTCTCCCTGCTCTGCAGAGGCGCCGCCTGCAAATTCCATCAAGATTCTGCGACCTCAGTCTCAGGGTTTAGCGCCAGGTTCCTGTTACCCAAGTCCTAGGGTGGAGGGTAAGGGGTGGTGGTGCTCAAGACTGTCGTCCCCGCAGCAGCCCTGTCCTGGGCAACCCTAGCCTGCCATCCCCTTTGCCTAGGAGGTGCCTCCAGCACAGTTGCTGAAGCGACCACTGGAACAGTGCACAATTGTTGGGAATGTGGTTTTTCCATTTCGGTTGGTGAGAGAAAATTGATTTCTGAATACTTAGGTTCATTGTGCAACCTGGAGCTGGATAACTGCAGGCATTGCCGAGGCTGCAGTTTTCGGATTCCCACTGGGAGGCCCATTGCTCTGATGACTGCAGAGCCCCCCCCCCCCCCCTGTGTTTGGAATGCTTGCAAGAGATCTGACACCGGTGCTGAGACAGACATGAAGGCAACAGCACACAGCGAATAATTCTGTCCTCCTGCGGCTGTGAGAGCCTCGGATGCTAAGCTGAGAGCTCTCTCCCAGAGCTCCCAGTTGGTCCACAAACACGACTGAGTCCTTGTGGTTGGCAGAGCGCTGTATGATTGGATGTTAATGGGGAAATACAGGAAAGCCATCCGGAGTCTGGCCCCTGGTTCAGGAGTTAACCCGTTTTGTTTGTAAAGGATTTGAATACGTTGAATGTATCTGTGGAGAAAGAAAGAGGTTAGTGCTGACAGGAGGACAATGTGGACTGAGAAAGAGGAGGGCGCTTGGGAGAGAAAGCAGACGAACATCACAAACCTCCTGCTTATATTGGAACTGCAATGTGTCTCAAGGTCACGTCCCTGAAATGGCACATCACCTTTTCCCCTCCTATAAGTCTGGCCCATTTTACACGTATACGCTGTGTGTATGTGTGTGTGTGTGTGTGTGTGTGTGTGTGTGTGTGTGTGTGTCTACGTGTGTGTGTCTACAGAAAGGATCCAGTGAGCAGAGGGCGAATGGGAAGTTTCAATGCCTGGTCTGGGAGGTCAGAATGGCAGATCAGGGAAGGCTATGAGGTCCATGAAAGCAGCCTGTGTTCCCATTCCAGCCAATTCCTGCCTGGTCTGCAGGCACAGCAGCTGAAATGGACCAGAAACCAGCAGAAGGGTGGTTTGCAGTGAATGTGTGTAACGTTGGGCTGGCGTGGGGGCAGGAGGTCCCAGAGGGGGCTGAGCGCCCCCAGAACTCTGTTGGAGGCTGACCCATCTGGGAATGCAATGACGCTTGGCCCCAGGAAAGCGGGCTCACACTTCCGATATTAATGGTCCACTTACCGCTTGTGTCTCCTCTCGTGTCTCCCAGGCGGAAGTATGTGCGGGAACCGTGGCAGAGGTGATCCAGTCTGTGGTCAACGGGGCAGATGGCTGCGTGTTCTGTTTCGGCCACGCCAAGCTGGGTCAGTGAGAGCTGTAATTTCCCCTGCTGCTTCTTTGATGCCTAGTCACCCTATTCATTCCCCCTGTATTGTCCCCGAGTCCTCAGGGTCTCCCGTAGGTGCTGAATCCAATAATCACGAATAACCATTTCTGCTCTGGAAATGTAGATGTCCTACCTAAGTGGATACCCTATCATGTAGGAAAACCTTTGCATCCAAGAGATGAACAAAGGGGTCGTGAGGTTCTTTCTGTTTAGTCCAGGTCAGGGTCATGACCAGAAAGCCAGCAGGAAAATGGACATTTTCTGAGCAGGGGCTGTTGGGAAGCAGAGAGGGCCCCCTGCCCCCTGACCAGGAGGATTTGGGTTGGTGATGGAGCCGACATAAAAGCCAGAGGAGTAGCTCCAAGCAAAGCCCAGAACCATGTTAGGACCTGTCTGGGAGAGTCTGACAGATCATCTTTGCTTCCCAGCATCCAGCTATCGGGGTTCCCCTGTGTTGGGCCCCTGGGAAGGGAGGCAGCTAACACCATCCCCTCCCCCCACCCCACTCGCCGCCTCCGCCGCCACCACCACCAGGTTTTGATGACTGAATCGCCTGGAAATGCCTTCTTAATCCTGATCTGTGGCCATCTGCTCACCAGGTCTTACCTTACATGCTTGATATGTTAGTAATTTGGGGAGCTCCAAGAAGTGTCCCTTGGCTGAGATTCCAACAGAGGCCTTGCAAATGATGGAGGCCAGTTTCAAGCCCGGACAGAAAGCCCTTATCATCCCACTGCCACTTGTCTTCCCATGCCTTCCTTCTCTTCATCTCTGATCAAAGCGCAGTGATCCAAATTTTAATGGAATTTGCTCATGCTATAAAAATATACACAGCATTTAACATGAGGAAGGATATAAAGCGTAAGCACATGGATTGAGTCTGGGGTGCTGATAAAAAGAACCATAAAAGTTAGGAAAGGTCCCTGCCTTTCCACTATATACGAAACAGTGCAGGAACAGGATAGCTTGTGATACTGGGGATCCGCTTGGAGGTACACTGTCATTTAATCTTGTCATTTGCCTGGGCTCTCGCGGTCTTTATTGTAGCCATCTAATCAGCAGCACCAGGAAATGTCTTTTTGTTACTCTTGCCAAAGGCTGCGTATTTCCCTCACCTTTTCATTTCCTCTCTTTCCTTCCCCCACCCCTTCTCTTTTCTTCTGCACCCTTGGCACCTGTTCTTGAGACGCTTCCAGATTGTTGCCCAGACACTCAAACTGCTGCTGTTGCTTCTTTGCCCCCCAGGAAAATCCTATACCATGATCGGCAAGGACGACTCCATGCAGAACCTCGGTATCATTCCCTGTGCCATCTCCTGGCTCTTCAAGCTGATCAATGAACGGAAGGAAAAGACCGGAGCCCGTTTCTCAGTCCGGATCTCCGCCGTGGAAGTGTGGGGCAAAGAGGAGAACCTTCGAGACCTGCTGTCCGAGGTGGCCACGGGCAGCCTGCAGGACGGCCAGTCCCCGGGCGTGTACCTGTGCGAGGACCCTATCTGTGGCACGCAGGTGATTGCTTCTGGAGCTTGGCGGGTTCCCAGGTGGCTCATCCCTACCTCTGAGGCTGGGGCAGCTCAAGCCAGGACTCACTCCCATGCAAACCGGGAGGCTCACGTGTGTTTACTTGAAAATGGACTGGAGCTTTACGGCCGCCGGCTGCGGGGCCATCTGCTCACCCAGCCTAAATATTTGTACCTTGAATCTAATTGACAATGAGCAGGAACTGCAATTGTCGTAGCATTTGGAGGAAATTGAATTTACTTTCTTGACGCCCCTTTCAGGGGGGGAAAAAAAAGTGCAATCTTTCTTTTGTTTAACAACAAACCGAGATATTTTCAGCTCTATACAAATAGCTACGGCCATTACTGGAGCTGTTTATGGCTCTATAAACTGTGTTTCTGGCACCAGTTTACCTCCGGATTAGTCGTGATGTAGAAAAAACTAATAACTGCTTTCTAATTAGAACCATGATCTAATTGCTAGAACGATGGAAGCCAAGAGAAGCTCCAGTTTGCCTTTTCAGGGTGTCACCCCTGTTATGAGTGTTCCTCTCTTGCTGTTTGACTACAGATGTAGGCATGGCTTGGGATGTCCCTGGTCCATACCCCAAATCAGTTCTTTCAGTCTCTCCCAGTACGCTTTAATTTCTAGTTTTGTCAGATACCCGCTTCTTCTAGATAGGTGTTCAATTTGATAAGCATCTGCGCCATCCCAAGTAGGATTGTTTCCACAGGTGAGGATCCCGCTCTGTGGTACCCGTCTTCTCACATCTGACCACACTCTTCTCCCAGCCATACCCTTCCGTTCCTGTATGACTCCTCCATTCCCAAACGCCTCATGACTTACAAGACCCTACATGTATCTTTTAAGCATCATCTCGTACCACTCCACTCCTTGCCACTCCTCTTCAGTTGCATGTAGGTCCCCTAAGAAAGCAGTGCCCCTCAAACTTCAGTGTGCATATAAATTGCTGGGGACCTTGTTAAAATGCAGATACTGGTTCCGTGGGTCTGGGATGGGGCCCATGATTATGCATGTCTAACAAACTTTCCAATGACGGACCATGCTTTCTGTTGTGAAACTCCAAGGCTTCCTCTTACCTCTGGGCCTTTGCATATTCTGTTCCCTGTGCGTGGAACACTTCTCCCCTCTCACTCTTCATCTGGCTAACTCTTTATCCTTTAGGTCTCAGTTACCTGTCACTTCTTTCAGGAAGCCCTCTTAGATGTTTCTCCTGAAGTCACTAGAATACTCATAGCATTTATATTGTGACTGCCTGGTTAGTTCTTGGCAACTCCCAAAGGGTGGGTACCACGTGTGACTAAAATTGGCTGTTCATAGTTTTAACGATGCATTAGATACCATTTGGATATGGAATCTAATTAGAATGCCAACTAGTTGGCTGTGCAAACCTTAATCCAGTGGTTCTTGAACTTTAGTCTTGATCACAGTTACCTAAACGACTTGTAAAATACAGATTGCTAGGCTCCACCTCTAGAATTTCTGATTCAATAGACCTGGGCTAGAGCGCAAAGTGTGCATTTCTAGCAAGTTCCCATGTGAAGATTCTGCTGCTGGTCCAGGGACCACACTTTGAGGACCACTGATCTGGAGCATAAGACGTGTTCAGACAGTGTCTACAAAGCACCTGTCATGGAAGTCAGTGTCCCCCTACCCACTGCTCCTGCCCCAAGCATTAGCTAGACATTCAAATATGCTATAACCTCCATTCACTTTCATAACTCCATTAATGAAGTTCCATGTAGGTGAAAGATCTGGTTAACTGAAGGCTAGGAATAATAATAAGAAAAGACCAGCATCCTCTTTATTGTAACTCTTCGTGTTGAAAAATCTTCAAAATTCTTTGGTTTATTTTTCTACCGTAGCAAATACAAAAAAGAAAAAAAAGAACACAACAGACTATCTCTCTGACATTTGAAGATTTTCATGGTCTCACGTTTCCAATATTGGGTCTCACAGTTCAGAATTATAGGTCCAGTTAGAGTCAGAGTAGAAAATTAGCAGAATGTGTACCAGCTCTAAGGCGTAGACTGCAAAATCATTTCTTTGAATGTATCAGAAATATGAGTTTCCTTTTCTCCCAAAAAAAGGAAGTGCTGGTCAAACTCTGATAGTATTTTTCTAATTAAGGTTTACTATGATTGCCAAGGGCTCTCATAGGATTTAAACACATTGTCTACAATACTTTCTTTAATCAGTTAATGAGTATGCAAAGCGCATGAATTTAGGAACTGAAGACAAAAATAGATATCCCTTAAATTATATAGATGAGACATTCAAGGATCGTGGGTGTTTTCATACACCTTTGACACTTCTTGTTTGTAACTATGCCAGTATATGTGGTCTAAAATGGGCTTTAATTACTCACTGGAAAAACTGAGAATTGAGTTAAAGCTAACCAAGTTTTTGCACTTCTTTGGGATACCAGTGCTGTCAACTAAAATCACATTTTGCAACCTGCCTGCCTCCAACCATCGAATCTTTGAAACCCAGATGTAGTCACATCCCTCGTGTTTTCCATGGTGAATGGATGGCCCAGGATGTGGGTTCGCTGTCCTCTGCAGACATCAGCTTGGGCCACTTGCTCCCACTGATCTCGCAGACACCACCATTTGCTTTTCATACCTGTTATTTTACAGATTCGACTTAAATTGTAAAGTGAGTAAAAAAATCAAACAATGTGTCATCCAATGAGGGTGCTCAGTATTAATCTTCAGGAATGAATGAATGAAGCTGAGCGTTGCCCATGAGTGAAAAGACCTTGTTTCAGAAGGACTTCCGGCCTTCGAGAGGCGTGGAAGGGACAGCCAGGCCTGCGGGGCGGGCAAGCCCTCCTCCGCCTGCCGCTTCAGCTCTTAGCTTATGTCTTCCAGCTGCAGAACCAGAGCGAGCTGCGAGCGCCCACCGCGGAGAAGGCCGCCTTCTTCCTGGATGCTGCCATCGCCTCTCGCCGGGGCCACCAGCAGGACTGTGACGAGGACGACCACCGCAACTCCCACATGCTCTTCACCCTGCACATCTACCAGTACCGGATGGAGAAGAGCGGGAAAGGGGGAAGTAAGTGGCCTCTTCTCTACCCGCATGCTTCCTGGTCAGGTCGCCCCGCACTGAGGGCAGCCATGGCCCGTGGTTAGCGGGGGACAGTGTCACCAGTCTGGAGTTTGCTGACTGGTCCTTCGAGATCATTGTTGAGTCTGGGCCGAAGTTTACTTTTAAACTGTCTAAAGGAAAAGGGTTTGCTTTGGTCAAGGTAATGTGTGAATGTTATTGCCATGGCAATGTGAGAGAAAAAAAGGTAGAAAAGAAAAACAGCTGCATAAGGGTACCTTTTTGTTCACAAATCTTTACAGGTGCTCATCATGAAAGACCAACTTTTATCCACCAAAGCACCCTGGCAAAATGTCACTAAGCAGTAGCTTGAGCCCATGATATGGACCCAAAAGAAACAAAGTCCTGCTTTTTATATAATCTATAAATTAGATGTTTGAGTAACTAACCAGATCTGGCTGCCTCCCTCCCTCAGCGAGTGCCCGTCCGTGATGTTTCTCTGTAGAATCGCAGACCCAGTCCCTGTGATAGCTGCACTGCCAGGAACCACCTTGGTGGGAATCCAGTCCTCTCTCGGCTGTCTCCAGAGCTGCACTGACCTTGGTGCAGTGCTCTATGCTTTGTCTGCCAAGTAGTGTATACTTGATGCTCTGCTCTTGAGTACCAGCCCCCAGCTGAGTATCTCAGGTGGGATCTTGCACCACCAGAGGAGTGGTCTGTTGACCTCCCTGGGCTTTCAGGGGCAAGCTGTGGGCCACAGGGCTGGGGTGGCTGGGCGGTGGCTTCCACAGTCTGTCAACGTCCACCTCTGTAGGGCTTTCAAAACACAGGCAACTTGCTACCGGCACTTTCTGAATGATTGTTTCAAGGATGCTGGATGCCAAAAACACACAAACAGACAAACAAACAACAAGCAAACAGCCCTGAGTGAGGAGAGGAACCCTGGTGGCTGGGAATTGTGAAGCTAATTGACTAACATGCAGGTGATCAACGAACCTGACTTGAGGCGGAGCCTGGAATGAAGACGTCCAACTGGGATCTGGGGATGGGCTCTCCAACTTCTCCCCAAGTCTCCTCGTTGCCCAAGATCTTAAAAACCAGTATCCTGGAGAGAGCTCTTGGGGCTCCTGTTGCCCCCAAGTGGAAGTTCTTCCCTTCCCCATCTCAATGCCTCTGTTGGCCCAGGCTTCTGGTATTGTTCCTACCCATTAGTTGTTGTTTTAATTCACATTTAATGAAGTATAATTTACATTCAGTAAACCTACCCCTCTTGTGTGTCCTTAGATGAGTTTTGGCAAATCTATATAGTTGTATAGTAACTACCACCACTAACAAAGTCATCACCACATCAAGTTCCGTCTTGTTCCTTGTAGCCAATCCCCTCCCCGGCCCCTGACAACCCCTGATCTGATTGTTGTCCATGTAGTTTTGCTTTTATCCAGAATATCACGTAAATGGAATCATGTGGTCCACGCGTGGACTCATGTGTCTGGCTCCTTTCATGTAGCATCTGAGGTTCATCCATGTTGCAGCACGTACCCGTCATTCACTTATTTTTCTTGCCACCTGCTCCCTTCGTTAGGACTGGGCCTAAAGAGTTGCGCTGCACCCCCACCCCCAGGGCTGAAATCTCACCATATACCCTGGCCTGGGCTGGAGGCCCGCCACCCGGGGCTAGCATTCGTGGCTCTGACCTTGGCTATTTGCACTGGCTGCTGCCCAGGAGTCTAGATACGCTTGTCCTCATTTCTAGTGTCCTGGGTGCCCAGGAAGGTGGACCGTCAGCAGACCGAGTCTCTCGTGATAGCCGTGATTGTGAGAAAGGCCTGACTGGGGATGAGTAAAGTGTTTTGAATAGGAATTCTTCAGGGGAGATTGATGGATTCTCAGGGTAAGACTCACCACGTATGGCACTTGCATTCAGAATAACGTTCTTAAAGAAGGAAGCAATGGGTTTAGGAGAGGAATGAGGGGGTCCAGACCTTTAAAATCCATAACAGAATTTTATATAACATTTCTCCTAACAGTCTGAGAGCTGACTTTAAATCCTGCCCTCAACTGTTTCTTCTTTCCCCCGGGCTGTGTCTTAGCAGCGTGAATGTGGGAGTCTGAAAAATGTTTATTGTATTCTTTTAAGCCGTTGATAATAATAATCATCGTCGTCAGAGCCTGCCGTGGATTCTTATACTTTCGGCAAAGGGTGACTCACAAAAGATCTGACTCTTGAGCCAAATGGCTTCCAAATGGCACTGAGTGGGAAAAAATCAAGAGGTGGGATAATCCCCTCCCCCTTCTAGGTTGCAAACCAAGCTGAAAACAACTCTGTTTTTGATTTTTCACTTTTTTTTCATAGTCCTGCTCTCCATGTGGAATCGAGAAGCAGGGAGGAACCTTGCAAACAAAGAAGCAGTTAATGAAGTTACTTCAACTGTAAGAACTTGAAAACTCGGTTTCCACAAAAGTGTGGGCTAGGACATTCCCTAAACCCAACAACCCACCTCAGATCAGTACGTGACGCACCCTAGGCACTTACTAAATATTTAACAGCAAGCTCGTCATTTCCTATTTATAAATGGTGGAAGCGAATTGCTTTTAAATAATAGATTCAGGTTAAAGAAAAAAGCAAGCACCATTAATGGCTTCCCAAACCTCTTTGGGTGCTTTCTAATGATTCTGTAGATGAGAACAAAGAGGGGTAAGCCCCAAAGGCTCTGGAGACGTCACCTGCCTGCCGAAGCACCTGGCGTCTTGTGGGGAAGGGAGCCAGGCCAGGATGTACACGGACTCCCAGCCCAGAGCTTGCTTGACTTGGTGGATTTATCTCTGTTGAAAATGTAATGAGGAGATTTGCAGTGTTGTTTAAAATGGAAATTTTGTTTACTTATATATAAGGAATAACCCCTGTGGACCTGGCAGCCAGAACTCAATTAAGGGAAAGTTTATTAATTAGCCACCCTGCGGGAAGCAGAGAGCAGAGTGGGCTGCTGTTAACTGGCCTTGAAAAGCTTAAATGACGGATTCAAAGAGGCCTCTGCCACTAGAATTAAACACGCCGTGTGGATAGACGCCTGAACTATACACACATAAGTGCATTTTATACACACACATCTACACACAGATCCACATTTAAGTAGACAGACAAAAACGGTTTACGCATGTCCAGTCAAGATAGAAAAGAAAATTCTATGTTGCTGTGTCACTGTTTTTGCAGATACCACTAGGTTAAGCTTAAAATATTTTTTATAGCTTAAAAGGTATTGGAGCATTAGTGGGGCTGATTCTTTACCCATCACGGAGGCTCCCAAGTTTGCTAAGCTGAATGCGTCAAGGCTGAGAACCCCCCATGGGAATTCCAGCATTGGGGAAGGGACCCTGAAGTCCTAATGACCAGGAGACACTCCTAGTAAAGATGGGTGTATTAGGAATATAGAGCAAGATGGGACGAGTGATGCTTCAGGGGAATACATTCATGATACAGAATTTTTACAAGTCCTGTTGATAAAGATGGTTTTTAAAAGCATCACTTTGGTGAGTAATCTAAGCTTGCAAGTACCTATTGCCCAGGGCCAAGAATGACACTATGTCTCCGATCTGTTCATTCGCTTTATTGCCTCTAGGGGAAGCCTAGAGGCCAAGTGTGGGCTGGGCTGGGCTGGGCTGTCTGTGTGCGTGTGCTGATGGGTGAGTGTACGTGCACAGGGGCACTCATATGTGTACAAGTCTGGTCAGGCTGTTTCCTTAATCTCAGTTTTCTTTTGACAAACAACCACTCTTTCGTTATATCCTGGAATGGCTTCAATCAGCTCATGCTCTATCCAAGGCTGTGTGGTCCACAGGACTCGAGAAATCCATCATTCAGGGGGCAGATGTGGGACATGAGACTTAGGAAAGAACATGGCTTCCAAGGAGGCAGAGCTGGGCGTCTGCTGCCCCTGATAGCAAACCCCGTGCAGGGAGGACTGCCACACCTGGAGGGCTGCTGCAGGGCCCCCATCTCCCCCTTGGCCAATAATGAAAGGACAGTTTTATATGTTTTTTAGATTTTTGTAACATACTTTTAAAATTCTTTGGCCAGGAGACTATTTCGAACAGTGCCGTCTGGAATTCCCACGGTAATCTCTCCTAGCCCTCGCATCACCTCCATCACAGCAGCAGTTGCAAAGCTTCTGAGGCCTCATGCCCCGACTCTACCAGCCTCAGCAGATAACCTGCTTCCTATTTAAGGAAAAGAAACCGTTAGTCTGGCGCGTTACCTCAGCCTCTCTCCTCTCACCTTCCAAACGTCCTTGTCTCTGTAGCTCGGTTCCCCCTACCCGTTTCCCATACATAGGCCTGCTTCCTCCCGTCTCCTTGCCCCTTTCTCCTGTCCCCTTGTGCCTCTTCCGGGACCTCGTCAATTGGGACCCCATCCGTCATCTTTCATGCTTTTATTTTCAATCTCTCCTACCACCAAAGTCAGGGCTGCCTCCTCCTGCAAAGAAGGGAGGGGACGATGACATCAGTAACAAAGCCTTGTCTGTACTACACGTCCTCTTTGAGCTGCCGCCTCCGTAAAGCCTTTCAGATTCTCCCCTTTGTGAATTATCTGTCTGTGGTACTTTAGGTCCCAAACCAGTTTGGTGGATGGCAAGCCATTGCCTTCCTCCACCTTATATTTCAGCCATTGATGGGCTTGTGTATTTCAGCTATTCATTAGACTGCCAGTTCCCTGAGGACAGAGCCCCGGTCATCCATCTGCCTGACCTAGTACTCTGCCCGGCAAATCAGTGCTCAGTCCTTACATTAAATCAAATGTGCTCAGTATTTTAAACAGGGAGTGAATTTCTCTGTCCTCTGGCTTAGCTATGTTTCACCCAGTTACCTTTCATGTAAGCAGATGGTGTGAGTTCAGAGCTGCCCAATTCTGTAACACAGTCAGGAATTGGTCAGTTCATTGAGAAAGTTAGTTAAACAGGAAAATCAGATAAAATGATACATTCATCCCGTAGACATGTTATTTCACCTCAAAACCTACAAATGTGTATTTATTCATTGATCTGATACCGGGCCAAGGTTTGTCTTTGAGATGAGGTTTCATCTTAAGGTTCTGACGTTCATAAACCACATTTATATTAACAGTTTGGGTTTCGCTTTAAATTTCTTCTAAATGATTCAGAAACATAAAAGACATCTGTACAGCCAACTGGGTATAGACTTTTTCTAGAGTCTTAAAATGTTTCCCACTCTATAATTTTTCATTCACACCTAATTCAGCATCGTTAAGGAAAAAAAAATGACTCATTTTTTATCACACCTTTCCAAAGCCTGGAGTTTGATTTTTATAGAATCATTAACTGTCATTACACAATCATATGTAGTTGGTTTACATAACATTTGATTATATTTTTATCTAGAATACCAGGTACAAGGGGCATAATTAGGTTTAGGAGAAAACCCAGCTGACCTGTATAGCTCCTTGTTTGGGAGCAAAAGTACGTAGACTGACTAGAGGACAGCCAGCACTGGTCACAAGCATTCAGCACGTGGTGGTCACCAGTCAGTGTGCCTTGCACACGTTATGGTTAAGGCATTGGTTAGGCTGGCCAAGTAGCAAGGAAGCTGTTCCCAAACATTGTTGCACCTGAGAATCACCTGAAGAGCTTTTCAGTGACTCCCATGCCCGTGCCACACTCCAGATCAATTCAATTAGAAAGCCTCTGAGTGGGAGCCAGGCCTCCGCGTTATTTTTAAAGACTCCAAGGTGATTTCGATATGCAGTCAATTTTGGAGACCACTAAGTTACGTGAAAGGTGAGTTCAAAGAGCTTCTACTTTATTGATAGCTCTGGACTTTCATCTTATATTGAGCATTCATTTTCTACGAAATCTTAGGCGATTTAACATCTACGAACCTCATTTTCCTCATCCATGAAATGGAGCTGGTTTTTGCATTGCAGGGTCGTTGTAGGAATTAAGTGTTATTAGGATAATTTGGCATTTCCTGTCACCTACCAAGTGCTCCATAAACTTGAGCTGGGAGCATGGCTCAGGAGTGGGGTTAAATTAGCATGTTGCTTCCTGTGGGGAGAGTAAGGCATGTGAGTAATTTGGTTTGGCCAAAGTCTAGACTTAAAATATACATATTAGGATATAAATACAGGATTACTCAAAGCAGACTGAATTATGTTCCTTTAACTCTGCAGCTGTGACCTCAGAAATCTGAAAAGTCAGTGAGGAACCTGCCTCTTAACTGCTAATAATTATCACCTGTTTCCTTCATTGATTATAGAACAACTTTCTCTCCAGCCACCTGTAGTAACGTAAATTCTGGGTAATAGCAAACAGCCGGAGCTCGCTCAGGGCACTTTGTACCCTTCCAGAGTAAGCACTGTGTGTGAAATTCAGAATTCTGTGACAATTGCAACTCCAGTGGGTATAGAGCAGAGAGTGGATTTTCCATTGTCTAAATGTGACTCTCATTTTGAGTCACGCAGGTATAATTATAGGTATTTTATAATATTATTCTCCAGCACGGTCTCAACTGTGCCTTTGTTCTCTGTGTTCTGTTTTACTACGTGTACGTTATGCATTTTATTCCATTACATCAAATGGGCTATTAGAGTCTGAAAGTCCAAATCGGTCCCTGTCTTTGCCCTTTAATCTGTGGTGCACGTGGAAATTCTGAGCTTCTCATGTCTATGTAATTAGGTTGCAAAACAGATGATATTTTGCTTTAAAAATAACTATTTCCCTTGCACGCTGCCATGACCTGATCTTGTATGATACAAAGTGGGATAAAAGAGAAGTAACATGTTATATCTTCCCTTGTAAGTGTTCTTATGGGGGATAGTGGAAGATAAACAAAATATCACATCCTTAATGTAAAGCGTTCTTTGCCATAGATGTACCGTCGGCTTTCTTAGCCAACCCCTATTCCACCTTGCCCCAAATGACCTGGTACCTGGCTGAGCATTAGGCCAGGGTCTCTATGATGATCAACAGATAAACCACTTATGGGCCATTCAGGTGTTAACTTGACCAGTTTCAGAATTCCGCCATCCAAAGGACATGTAGGGACAAACAGTATTCTTTTATTAGACACTTACCTTCTCTGGAATAGCATCCCGTTCAACCCACAGCCACAGGAATTATTCATTTATTTATAGGATGAATCAGTAGGCTTTAGAAGGTCGGTGATGTGTGCTGGACAGAATTTAAGAGAACCCTGATATTTGTAACCCCAGCATGATTTTGTTGGGGTTTCCTCTTGGGTCATGAATACCACTCTTTTACTTTCTCTTTTCTTTTTCCTCAGATTTCCCAATGCGCTCCCTGAAGAATAGATGAGTGTTTGCCAGAACTTAACGCCCTCTCTCTTCTCTTGTTTCTCCTGTGGCAGTGTCTGGAGGCCGCAGTCGCCTACACCTCATCGACCTCGGCGGTTGTGTGAAAGCCCTTAGCAAAACTCGGGAAGGAGGCTCAGGGCTTTGCCTCTCGCTGTCTGCTCTGGGTAATGTCATCTTGGCTCTCGTCAACGGCAGCAAACACATCCCGTACAAGTAAGTGTCCCTTTCTACTGGAAGAGCGAGATGGGGTAAGCATAGGGCCGGGACTGGCTGTGGGACTCTGGGTCCAGTGACACCTGGTGAGGGGTATGTTACAGAGGAACAGTCTGGACAACACTGTTAGTTAATTGCCAGAAACGAGCTTTCACCAACAACTGTGTAATGCATCGCCTCATTCAGAAGCTATGGAAATACTTAAATCTGCCCCAGTCCTAACTTTAGGCTGCTTAAATCAGAAGAAATAGGAAATTATCTTAGTCGAGGTCGCCAGTGACAACAATGTACGTTGGTGGATTATTGTCTGTTTCATAGTCATGAGAGCGAAGGGCACAAGATTGGCTTACTCTTCCTTTAGGAGTTGCGCTGCCGGATTTAACCAATGAAAGTACAGATACCCTGTTAAATTTGAATTTCAATAAACAACAGATAATATTTTAGTATAAGTATGCTCCCCAAGATTTCATGAGATATATGGAAATTCTGTAGTTTATCTGGAAATCCTGCTTAGAATAGCTTAGAAAGCTTAGGGAATTACCACCATCCCATGCAAGTATTTCTTCTACTTCCAAGATCCTTTCTTCATTCTGTTACTGCTATAAGAAGATGAAAGTAGAGCTAATTTACATCTGGAATTCCCAAAGACTTACCATATCATCTGTGTGCACGAATGACCCAGGCCTGGAGCCACCCTTCACCACCATCACCCCAATTCAGCTTTGCAGTTGGTCAGTTTGGTAATGGGATAATGGATACTTCCCTGCTTCTCCACTAGGGCCCAGCTGCCTGAAATGTCACCCAGCATAAACTGAGGGTGATTGCTATACATCTTATCTACATCACAGGGATATCAGACTCAGAGTGATGTAATATGTGAAAGCTTTTTGTAAAATTTAGAATGCGATAGGCAATGACCAATGAGGATAGTCTGGTTGAGCCTGTCCTCATATAATTAAATGGAAATAACACCGGCCTTTCAGAGTTGCCATGAGGATTAAACAGATATCCAAGGAATCATTTTTTTTTCAATCTATAAAATCCTATAAAATAGAAGTTACGGTGGTGTGGGAGTGAACAGGTAAGTAGGGCAGTTTGTCCTCCAATAGGCTGAGGCTCAGGACGCGTCCTCAAGTTCTCTTTCTCCTCTGCTTTGAGTTGATGCCAACACTGATTTTATTCTCCACCAGGAAGACTATTGCTGGACCCACTTTAGGAGCTTAAATGGCAACTATCATCCTCTCTGTCTCAATTGTTGAAATGTGGAATCCTAGTTGGACAAACCTAGAAATGGTTTTCCCAGCCCCTGCGAGGACCTTTTTCTATGAGAAGAAATTTCAAGTTGAAGGTTTATAAAGTTTCATTCGATATTATTTCTGGTTAAATATGCTCAGCTTGTGAAAGGAAAAGTCAGGAGGGGAACTGTCAGGGCTGGAGAAAGAAAGTAAAGAGTTTTTGGCCCTAGCTGGTTTCCCTGCCCATAAAAAGAGAAATGTGCCTATTAATGTTGTAACTTAATAGATCACGATGTAGATAAAATTCAAAATGCCACCTTTCGAGGTCACAGATTATATATTTTACTCATATATATCTCACATTATTTCTGTAGAGTGACATGCTTTTAGGATTTCAATAAATATTTGTCGAATCGATGCTAGGAGGGATGGGTGAACATAAGCCTATGAAATTACTTTTACGTTAAACAAAGTAACTTCCTATTGGTTAGAGCTGGGTTCTATTATAAACATATAGGGAAACATTAAGAATTGCTTCTATTAATAGCTCAAGGTCTCTTGTTGAATTAAACATATTTAACATCAGCTAGCCATAACGACCAGCCACCTGCCCCTTGGGAGGGCTGACAAAGCAAAGCCTCCACTCACCATTTTCTGCAGACATCTGTCTGCTTCCAGCAGCTCCCTTCCTTGCCTTCTGGCTCTGAGGGAGTGAAGATGAAAGCGTTTGCATGTCTGAAGTGGGCACAGACTTAACATACATGTGGTGTCTGCATAAGACAGTCATCGAGTTGTCCCCCACCATCAGGACCCTCCTGGAGAAGACCTTGCAGGGCCACCATTGCTTGATGCCCGGAATCATAGTAGCCTGGCCACCTGGCCAGCGCTGTCCTGCCTGGAACCCTTGTTTGCCAATGCACTTGTAACAGCCCCTTTCTGTCACCCCTCCGGCTTGCATGCCCCTCATCGTGTGTGAGCTTAAATAGGACCTTGCTGTTGTAGTGACTCCAATTCTCAGTCACAGCATATATTCAATATTTGGTATCTGCAAACCCCATTTGCAAGCATGATGAATCAACTGGAAGCTCTCTTCTTTCGAGGGACAGGAAGATCAGGCAAAGATTGACTCAAATCACCCAGCCAGTGGGTGGCGGAATCAAACTGCATCACTTTCCACAGCCTGGGAGACCTTGGCAGTTCGGAGCCCACTACCAGCCCACTCCCCCCTGCTCATCAAGCTCTGTAATAGATTAGCTGTCTTTGGTCTGCACAGTATGGGGTCTTCAGCACAGCAGGGTGGCCCAGATTGCTTTTATCAATTCAGTCAGGCTCTGAAGCCACATTATGCAGCATTTTGTTAGCATACTAAACACCTTTCACTGTCGCAAACCTTGTCTTTGCAATAAAGTTGCTTAGAGGGGCGTTTCCTGACCTTGCTCGCTCACAGGGAAACACAGAAAACCAAACTCCACATTTGGTACCCTCCCCCACCCTTCTGACACACGCACAAAAGCCCACTACCTCTTCATTTGTTACCCTCGACAACTCTATGCTTGGAACCTGCATTCCTTGTGTTTGCTTCTAGGAAATTAACTGGAATGTGCACAGAGGGGCTATAGCCTGTCTTCATTTCTCTTCATCACTGTACCAGACTATTTGTCATGTGAGCAAGCCAGAAAGTGACTTTGGATTCATTAGCCATCTCAGGCGCTCCCATGGGCACCCTAGGTAGGCCCTGAATGATTTTGACTTTGCAAATGATATTGCCTTTGTAGATGACAGACTCCGGCGCAGAACGGGTTCCCAGCCTCAGCCATTACACCCCACAGGCTCGCTGGCCCATCCAAGTGCAATAAATCAATCCTCAACAGTGACACCCTTCAGAAAAGCATGCAGAAAGGCAGGGAGACCACCAAGGGCCCCAACCCCATAGTCAGCCCTGTGCTGACAGGCTGCACAAATGACTCTTGAACTTTGGGGGACTTCTTGTCTAGGGAAATATGCCGTAGCCATGAGCATTTTGACAGTGGGTTTGCAAATTCCCCTCCATCCCTCATTATAGCCATTTGCTATTCCTCACCATTTCTTGGAGTCTTCCAGTTAGATAGATAGGAAAAAATAGGCAGAGTTATTGAAATGAATTTCCATGACAAAAAAACAATGTTAGAGGCACACACCCCTGGAATCAGTCCCCAGAGGCGGCGTCACGAAGCTCTGTCAGTGCAAACTTAGCTTTGACTAAAGTGCTATTATGTCTCCCACCTGACCTGCAGGACTGCAACCTTTCCAGAGACTTGGAAATTCTAACCACCACCCACTTATCTCAAAGCAGAATTTTTGGTCCCTTTGAGACGTTGTCTTGTAAGGGGGCACAAACCCTTGGCAAGCGTATGCTCCCCACAGTGGTACTTTAAGCCCTTGAAGCATTTGCCTTCATTTATAACTCTTACTCCCTTTGGAAAAATAATTACTTTCTTAGGTCAAACGATCTATTGGCTTATTTACCAATAAGATATTTCAGGCCGCAAGTAAACACTGCTGTAAGGACCACTTGGAGGAACCACTAGTCCACAGGTAGTCAGGATGCTGCCATCAGTGTCTGGAACAGGACCACTTGTCCTTCTGGGCCCTGGTGAGGAGTTAGAAACCAAGGTCGTTGCTGAGAAGGCCGCAGCATCAGAGCGCAACAATTCATTCACAGCAGCAAGCAGCCCAGAAAAACTCAACTCCACGTCAGTGACTTGCAGAGAAAGGTCGTTTTCTTAAACAGAGGCAGCTTTTAAAAAGTGTTAATCCCTCTTCTCTCCTGTAAGGGGCTGCTGTGCTGGACCGCGGCAGCAGGCCGAAAATCCAGAAGGATCTATAGAAGAAGGCAGACACTCCTCTTCCTTGCTTGGAGAAATACTTTCTCCCAGGAGCCATTTAGGAATTGGGATTATCCCTGCTTTCTCAGCACTGAAAACCTGTTCAGCGTCTGGGAAGCTAGAGAGAGAAGCGAATGGTTGATACTAGCTACAATACTCCATCCCCGTGGCTCACACAGAGATAAAAGGCTTGTTCCTCTGGATCCGGATGTATATTATTTATGCTAAATGGAATGAAATAGATATTTTCCAGGAAAAAATACAAAGGAATAGCAATCCTCCAGATTTTCGTAAGATAACATGTAATGGAGAGAAGCTCTGTGTAAGAATGAGAGAGAGAGAGAGTGAGTGAGAGTAAGAGAGAGAGAGAGAGAGATAGATTTTGGAACCTTTAAATGTACATTAATGCTGTATTATCGGCCCCTGATTTACAAGGAGAACATCCATTCAGAACTATTTGCACAAACTCCAGATCCCAGTTTATAGCATTCCCTGTTTAGAAATAAAATAACCAAAGTCTCAGGTTGCCAAGCAACCACGGCAATGCTAATTCTTAATATTGCTGCTTCAAAAATATTCATCTTTATACATTTTAATGACTGTAAGGAGGCGGAGAAAGTGAGTTCTGAAAATCAGCGGGACATAGGCATCCCTGTTGTAGGAGATTTCAGCCCTTTTACTTCCTTTTATTCTGCCCTTTTTTCTCCATGCGCTTCGCTGGCCAGTGGACCCTTCATACTTAATTATGGAACATTTCAGAGCCTGATATTATTTTCTTAAGAGTCGAGGCAGCAACCCCCAGTCAATGCACTCTGCCTGGTTTATCACAGAACGATGTAAGTCACTCAGGAGGAATGAGGCTGCCTGGGCATCAGTTGGGGTCAGAAGCACTGGTTTTTTC